AAAGGCAGACACGGGGCAAATAAAGGCAGACACGGGGCAAATAAAGGTAGACACGGGGCAAATAAAGGCAGACATGGGGCAAATAAAGGCAGACAGGGGCAAATAAAGGTAGACACGGGGCAAATAAAGACATGCTTAGTGTGCCTGAAGTGGGCACACCAAGCATTTCTCACTACTGGAGAACCCCTGTGTGCTCTCTCTGCTCACCCATTTTTGGTGGACCCAGCGCTCCAAGCATCCCCTACCTCCCTTTTATCGACAAGCCCCCCCAGGAGCGATCAGCCGGAGCCAAAACCCCAAAGAACCCCACAGCCCCATACGGTCGTCTTGGTCTTCTGGCCTCCCTGCTGCTCCTCGGCCACGCTGACCCGCAGGTAAGTGTTGGGTGTGTTGAGCCACCGCGTCTTCTCCTTCTGCTGCTTCTGTGCGTGCTGCCGCAGCGCAGGCGTGGGCATCGCCTCCTCCTCAAAGACAAAGGCCGTCACCGTGGCAGGGATGAGCACATCGCTTTTGGGTTTGCTTTTCTCTTGCACGAAGGGGTAGCGGTAGGTGTAACCGGTGCGGTAACCCTGCAGAGCGAAGCGGCATCGGGTCCTGTGAGTTATTTTCTCAGGGTGGTTTGAAAAGGGATGGAGGGACGCCGCGCGCTCGCTCACGGGTGCTCACCAGGTTGTCCAGCATCCTCATCAGGGCTTCAAATTCGTGCTCGCCCAACCGGCTCTTCTGCATGGGGCCGAAGGTGCTGCCAGCCCAGCGCACGGAGCCCACCTCATGGGGACGGTGCTTGGCACGCTCCAGCACAATGAGGTTCTCTGCACCGCCTGCACTCGCCAGCGCCGACACCTGCAGCGTTGCATCGGTGGCTGAGACTTTGCACAGCGCTGTGCACGGTGCAGGGGGCATTGCATCGATGGCTGAGAGCACGCAGAGCTCAGTGCGTGGTGCTGGGAGCATTGCTCTGGTGCTGAGAGCAGGCACGGCTTTGTGCATGTACGGTGGAGGGGGTATTTCATTGGTGGCTGAGACCATGTGTGGTGCCGAGGGCATTGCAGTAGTGGCTGAGATCGTGCACAGAGCTGTGCATGGTGCAGGGGGCATTGCATCTATGGATGAGAGCATGCAAGATGCTGGGAGCGTTGCAATGATGGCTGAGACCATGCACAGCTCAG